CTTGATACTAATATTTCGTGACACTACTTAAGAGGCAGTCTCTGTAAGAACCTCATGACCTCTTTGGATCAACAAATAGATTTCTCTCAAACTTTGTAGTTGAGATTGCCTTTATAAGGGTTGTTTCAAAATGCATTTTGTTTTCAGTCTAATTGCATTTTGGCAAAGTTCCAGGGGGGTCAAGTTGAGGGAAAAAATTACGATTTTTGCTGTTCTCAATAGTGGATTTTTGCTGATTTTTAAACCTCTGTACATCAAACAAAAATCAAACAAAAATAATCATAAAACTAAATCTTTCCAGACAATAGTAGCTTTATATGTCTTAAGTAACAAGGTATCTATAAATTTTTCAAATTTGTTTTCTAAATATAGAAATGACATCATTCATGATAGACTAAAATAGAAATTTCCAAGTTCCTTAAAAATGGGTGAAATAAAAACCCTAACATTCAAAAGTTAGACTTGCTATGAATGTAATATTATTTGTATGGTGAGATTAAAGGTTGGTCTTACATAATATAAAATAAAATATTGCGGCCTGTAAATTTTGGAGGTACTACAGGCCAACAAAACATCAACATTTTCGACTTTCGGCAGTTTGGAGTAAATAAGAACGTTCATGTTTACTGTAAACTCTGCTTTGAAAGAGCAAAATTTTACATATTATTGGACCTAGAACAGTGATGAACATTCGTTTGACCTTTACTGTTGTCTAAAGTCTTTTAGGGAAAAGCACTGACACAGGCATTTCCGTTATGTATGGACGTAATGGACCGTATTGTATAAATAATAAACATTTTCTAGCTGAATATAATCAAGACAAGTTATATACATTTGCATCATGTAAAGACGTCCGTTAGTCAACAAATTATCAAACATCGATTTATTTTGAAGATTTATTTAAAAAGTCAAGAGAAAACCTACCCCAATATATTTATATTGATACAAAGTATGCCTCGATCGACAGCCTTGTCATTTAATGACCCGAATTGTCAGTTGACTTATTATTTGACGTTCGTTAGCTGCCATTATTCTTTAGTGTTAACCACCTCCGATATCTTAATGATTATTGTAGACACAGTCTTGTATATAAATCTTGATTCTTCGTCCGAACAGGCAATGTTAGTCAATTCCTCCATCAGTCCATCGTTTATATAACTCGATTTTGTTGTTGTTATGGCGGAGGCCGCTGACCAGCCAAATAATTCGACTGTCAAACGTACACGCGTAAAAATCATCATGTTGATGCAAGTTGTTCAAAACAGCAGCGAACAATGTTGTGCTGCACCCCGTGAACAATATTGTTAACAAGTTGTTAAACCATCAACATTGTTGCAACTTGTTGACAATCATGTTAACAACTTGCAACAGTACTGATGGTTGAACAACTTGTTAACAATATTGTTCACGGGGTGCAGCACAACATTGTTCACTCCTGTTTGAACAACGCCGAACAACCTGATCAATTTTTACCCGTGTACAGGGCGGGTTTGTGCACGATAGAGATATTTACAGCCTTGGAAAATTTTGCTTCCATCAAACAAATATCATGATAAACCTGTATCCTCCCGCACAATAGTAGCTTGGTATGTCCTAAGTATCAAGGAATTTATAATTTTTTAAAATATATTTTCTAAATATAGAAATGTTTCTATATTTAGAAAAATTACATTTAGTCTGTTTCATTCGTGACAGACTAAAATAGAGATTTTCATTAAAATAGAGATTACATTTTTAAGGATTGGAACAATTTACCCAATTCTATTTGAGAAAACGATTTCCTTATAACTTTTAAACAAATCAAGAACTTTGGATTATAGTAGTGACTTATTTTACTTTTTACATCGTAATTTCCTAGTATACATATACTTCAGAAAGATATATTATAACGTATTACTATTAGCTATATTGTAATTTATTTGCAGAACCTCCCTGAAAACCACGTATGTGATGGAAGCTGTTAAAATATTACTTTAATAATAATAATAATAAAGTTTTGCATATATATATATATATATATATATATATACACAGTAATTTCAAAAGGGCCATTTTGGCCCCTAAAATGGGGCCAAAATTTTGACCCTGAGACGGCCCCATTTTAATGGGGCCGTTTTGGCCGCATTAAAATAGGGCCATTTTGGCTACTTATTAAAGGGCGATTTTGGCTATTATGTGGGGCCATTTTGGTTCTTTCAAAGGGCTGTTTTCAATCTTATAATTAGAATGATAGCAATTTCAGCTCTCAAAAAAGGGCCAATTTAGCTCTACGTGGGGCTGTTTTGGCTCTTCGAAAAAGGGGCTGTTTTGGCTCTTTCAAAAGGGGCTGTTTTGGCTCTTTCAAAAGGGCCGTTTTGGTGGTTTCAAAAGGGGCCGTTTTGGCTCTTTCAAAAGGGGCTATTTCGGCTCTTTAAAAGGGGCTGTTTAGCTATTTCAAAAGGGGGATGTTTTGATTCTGAGGACAGCACCATTTTATCGTTGCTCATTAGACATATTCAAATAATCACACAATGCAAGTTTAAAAAGGTGTATTTACATGAAGTTAAACATTACATTAAAATATTTACAAGATGCTGGGCACTTTGGTGTGACAATACCCAACACTACAAAAAATTATGTGTAAAATTTGCATGCACAGCAACACATTTACTGTATATATGAATATCATAATGTCTTATTGTTTTACTTGCCAGTGCTGTCACATAATGGGTTAAACAAGTAAACTGAGGTAAAACCATGAATGTTTTCTGGAATCAGGAATGAGCCAATAGCATATTAGATCACAAATACTGTACAGTACCGACAACATCACCCTTGCATTTTAGTAAGCATCTACCATGTTCAAAGATTCTTTATCGCATTGTAAACTCCATCCTACATAATGAATAATTACAGATAGATTATTTAATTAATATTTGTTTTCATAGGAAAAATTTGATTCACTATGACTATGGCTCCAACCTTAGACCAAATTATAGCTAGTAACATGCTAACCCAGAAATAGTCGTGTAAGGTTCACTGATATTCCGATAACCGATACTGAAAGACTGATATTTTTCAGATACTGACACCGATATTCCATGTCATTACACAAAATTCAAAGATGACATCAAATTACTGACATTTCAATTTAGTTGGTGCATCACTACCCAGAAATCATGGTCACACAGGAAAATGTTAACCCATGAAGTTGCATTGCACTCCTACTTTATTGTATTCCTGTCTAATGTCAATTGCCAGACATATTTGTGAGTGGGAGTGCTGGTGATTAATGGGTTAATGTGCCTACGTCCCTATTTTATTGTCTTTAATCCATTAAGTACCTAAGTACCAGTGTTCTCCCCTTGACAAGTAAAATCGTCTGGCATTAGACAGGGTAAAATAATAAAGCGGGGTGTATCAAGATGCAATGCAACTCAATCCATGGATTTTGTTCATTCAGCATTGGCTACCAGAAATGTGATAAAAAGCCAATGTGCATGTAATACAAAGAAAGCTAGATTAATTTATGATTTGTCTTATAAATGACCATCAATACATTAGCACTCTCCACTCGAGTCTTGATAGACAGAAGACAATAATTTGGCATCAACCCAGTATTCATATTGGGTCGTTCCAGAAAAGATCCATACTCCCCCCACGGAGGAAATTTCTGCCGTCCGGAGGGGGAGGGGAGAAAAAATTGTTTCTGATAATAGTAAATGTATTAGGACATCCGAAGGGGGTAGGGGGTTAACTTCCTATTTCCTCCGTGGGGGCGGTATGGATGTTTTCTGAAATGACCCATTTGATACTGTGCTTTTGAGTGCAGAATGGAAAGCTTTGACTTCCACTCACTCTAATGAGTAATCATCTAAGTCAATATTCTAGGGTAAAATCTACCTATAAGGAATCTCTATAATCATACTCACCATGTAGTAATTTTAAGCAGCTTTCCCTTGTCTGTAAGTTGGCTGTAATAGGTATGCTGGCAACAAAAATACAAGATGTCAGCACTTGTAAAAAGAATACTAGTTTTATGATCCCTCCTGCAATATGAACTCTATTTAGAGTGTTTACAGTAAAATGAATGATTCTACCTCTATTTGGCTTAGGTGAGACCTCATTACTTGTTGCCGGGATCCCACCTGCCAAGACGTGAAATTCTCATATACAGTAAGCACTCTATCATCCCTGCCAGATGGGGTGCATGTATCCCGTCTATTTTGCTTAGCCAGGTTTCTCAGCAAGACTGGATTAAAACCTCCTGTCCAGCCATGCCATTATCACATACATGTAAACAGGCACATACAATATGTAAAGGTGGACTTGAATAACTTAGATTCTTGCACTTCACTTGCTGGAATTAATATCAGTTGGGTAGAGTGCTGCACCGGAATCGCAGGGCTGTGGGTTCAATTCCTACCAAAGGACATTGTACTGCATTTTTCGCAGTCGTTCCTGGTTAGGTCTTAAAATGTATATATTCTCACTTGGATTACAAACCATAACATCATAAACATACAATATGTAAACTCTACAAGGGTTTGGATTGGAATCCTTCAAGCTCAAGCTAGCAAAGTTTTACTGTTTATACTTTTTACCATATTGTGGGCAGCACTAACCCTTTAAGACATAATGTGCCCTGATAAATTGAAACTCACAAATAATTTTCATGTTTTGACTTCGAGGCTTGATGCAGACAACCTAAGTGAATATGAATAAGGGCCGGACCATTAGATTTTTGATGGGGGAGTTGTGCATTTTCCACACTGCTCGATATTTTTTTTTCGTCCTTCAGACAAGCAGGATATTTTTTTATTACCTCTGTGTCCTTGCACGATATTTTTTTTCTCTCAACTTTCAAAATCAATATAATCATTATATGTATTAAATATGCATATTTTAATATGCATACTTCAAAACTGTAATAATATATAAAAATAATAAAATGCTAAATTCATCAATTGGACATTTTAAACAGTGAATTTTCAAATATATGTTATTAAAATTGATGTTTGATGTCTACATGGGTTGTTGATCTTCCTGTTGAATTAGAAGGCAAGGAGAATCAATTGAAAGCATTTCTTAAAAAATTATCACTCGAAGACAAGTTTAAGAATTTCCAATCAAATGGTTTGAGTCAAATTGAACACCTACAGGATATTCATGAAAAGGATATTGACATGTTAGGTTTGACAGTATTTGAATGGAGACGACGTGAGATCACCACTTGGAGAAGTGAAGAAGAAAGTGCGAAAATTGGTAATGCCAAAACAAGTGTTGCTGCATTCAAAACATCTTCGGCATCTCAGCATCTGCAGTCATATCCTTGCCCAACTCTTTGAGTAATTTCTTTGGGACTCGAGATGGACAAGGGAACATAGTCGTCTCTATTGAATCCTTAAAGAGAAAGTACAAGGCTCTATGGTATGAGAATCCTGTCAATCCAACTCAAATATTCTCCAACTCATTTATTCTACAAATGGCAGAACAACGGATGCAATTTGAGAAGACCCTCCGTAGCTGGGAATTATGGTGCAGAAAACAAAGGTCAACACGAATTTCTTTTTTGCTGGCATTGGCAAAAACACCTGTGATTTCAACGTGGAATCAATACTACAAGTCGCAAAGTATTATGGGAAAGTGTGAAATATTAGAAAGGCAACACCCTGCAGTAGCATCATTTTTGGAAAACAGAGTCAGAGAGGAATCATCCAATGTGCCATCAAAAGCCATGTATGAAAATATCTGCCAGTATGTTGCAAAACTTGAAGAGGTCAGTACCTTTTCAACCAATACCCTACAGAAGTGTGATACTGAGATGGCTAAATGCAGCCCTGCTGGAGTACCCAAAAAAGGTACAGTAGTTTCCACTTTTCAGAAGAGATGATAGTATTTTTATAGTAGAAAATAGACCTATATTAACACACAAATTGGAAATGTTAGCCATATAGGTTAATACATTTATACGTTAATCTCGAATCAGGACTTGGGGTGGGGAGAAAAATTTAAAATTGGCTTCTGAACTTTAATAGTTGCTTTATATGCACTTTAATATAGGTTACAAGGATGAGTTGGATTTCCTATCAA